ACAGTATATTTCGATTTAAACTTGATTTCAATAGATGGTTCCTCCTATCGACTAATATTTTTATCCAGACAAGAAGGGCGTAATCTATTATTTTTGCGCAAAATAGCATCCTAAAATTAGTAAAATTGCAAAGTTTGGTTCCGAAGTTTTGTAAAATACGGAAAATATAGCCCTGTGAAATTAGCAAATTTTGAGTATTCTAGTATTACGCACGGAAAAATTGAGCCGAAAATGGTGTATTTTTCCGCGCGTAATACTAAAATACTTAAATTTTGCTAATTTCACTGGCGGATAATTTTTCGTATTTACAACATTTCGCAACCGAACTTTGCAGTTTTACTAATTTTAGGATGCTCTTTTAAGCTTTATAATGATATATTTTGTCTTTCTTGTCTATTTTAAAAATTAGTCGATAGCTGAAATCATATTCCATTAAATAACTTGATTTAAACTTTGTTTCCAACTCGATTGCAGTATGTTTTGAACTACTAACTATATAAAGTAGAATAATTTAGATAAGTGTGCTTATCTCGATATAATAAACTATTAGATCATATATTACTGGGAATAAATGGTTAAAAATTTTCAAAATGATGAATGAACGCAGCTATACTTCAGTTTTATTTAACTCCGTACACGCACTTTCGACACCCTTCGTCATCGAAGGGGACCACAGCTGACCACACCCATTTTTGAAGCCTGAACAAAAAAATATATATCGTATATAAACACTATCGTCGGTATTTTAAAACCTCATGCACTCGGCCTATACTTCATTTCAAAACAGCTTTAAACCTTTTGATATATCCTCTGGCGTAGGAACAAAGAGGGGCTGAGGGAGAAACTTGCTCCCGCTAAAATTTTGCAGAGTATTACATTAACTGAGAAAGTTGTAGATGATGCAACTACCTCAAAAATACAGAAAGAACGTTAGCGTTTCATGCGAAGGCCATTCGTCTACTATAATTTTGAGACAAAGCGATTTTTGTGATTTCGACAAACTAAGTTTCTACAGTTTTCTCAGTTTGTAGCCTTTACTTCATATTTGATGATAACAATACATTTTTGATAAGAATATTAAGCTTACCCACGGGTGGGTGGTTGTCGATAGAGACTCTAAAAATGGCAGAAAATCGCAGTCCGGTTAACAGTGACTTCCGCACATCTTTTGAAAATGATGTTCACCGATATACTAGAAGAAATAAATAAATAAAGAAACGAATAATAATGTATAAAATTTGAGCAATTTTACTTGTGCATCAGCAAGTGAAATTCCTTACCAACATTGTCGTTCTCAACTCAAACTCACGATAAAACTGAGTGACAAAAATATGAACACTGATAAGATCATTTGAATCTTTTTCGTCGACCTCTCGTAGAATGTCTGTCAACCATTCAAAGTGCTTTTGACTTCTTGTAACCCACAAGAAATACACCTAAACGTCAAGTTCAAAATCAAAACCTGTCGAAAAACTTGCTATTAGGAAATATTGGGATATGTCCTATCAACATAGAGACGGAACTTTGGTTCTGACGTCTGACTGTGTAAAGGCCCATTTCCACTAAGGAAAATTTTCCGCGGAAAGCGGAACTTTTGCAAAATGTGATTGGTCGACACAAATTTTCCGTTCGAAAAAAATTTTGAAGTTCAAAATTTCGAACTTTTAACAATAATATTTTCAGAAAATTTCTGTCCGTGGAAATTTTTCTTGTTCAATGAGTGGAAATGGGCCTTAACGAAAAGCACCTCAGGCATATTTGTGATTTCTGATACCTTCTTACAAGAGAATGTCGACTTCAATGTTCCTTTGTGAGCAATATCTTTCAAAATTGAAGCAAATGGAGTGACTCCAATCCCTCCTCCTCCTACCAAAACTGACACTTCGTAACGATACCAATCTTAATGTCCTTCACCAACGTACAACTAATACAATTGTACAGCAATAGTGAAAAAAATACATCAGTAACTGCATGGCGATTCCTACATTATGTAAGTAGTGAGGTGTGTGCAAATCATCCTTACTTAATCCGAGAGCTAAGCTGAAATGGGAAGGACGTAAGCTATCCTAATCTATATAGTCTAATGCTTACAAAGGGCACCCCTGTCAGCCACTTTATGACTCATGTCTCATCACGGAGTACAGTTACGGCCGTGAAATGGCCAGTTAGTATGTCATCCTATACAACTCTGTGAACATTTCCTCCTGTGGGACGAAATTTGAGCACCCAGCGAAAACTCATGATTTTTGGTAGAGCGTTGACTGACTCCTTTTACATAAGTGTCATGTGTTCGCAGTGTAAATCGAACCCACATGATACCAGAGCTGAATTGAAAGGCGCTTGCTATGACGATTGCGCCAGCAAAACCCATCATGGCTGGGGCAGTTAGCCGTCACTTCTTCTGGATATGACCATGTTTTTATATTTCAAAAACCCGGAATGCAGCAAGCTGGCTAAAAATACGAGGCTTTCTAATAACATTGCATTTTTTTAAGGATACTTCAGTGGTGGCGCAAAACTGACACAGAGCCCATTTTTCTTGCCCTTCCCCCAGGTTAGTCCGTGAGGACCGAAGGTATGAGCCGAGTACCGCAGCCACGAGTCAACTAGGTGGTCTGGGGGCATGTCCCCCAGCAAATTTTAAAACTTTTATCATTTTTAACAAGTTGTGAGAATGTCGTTCCATCAACTTGTCAAAACGACTTTTCGCAACGGGCTTGCAGCAAGCTTGTTAAGACGTTCTGACAATGCTGTTCCAACAACTTGTCAAAAAGACTTCTCGCAACAGGCTTGCATCAAGCTTGTTAAAGAAGTTGTGACAATGCCGTTCCATCAACTTGTCAACAAGACTTTTCGCACACAGGCTTGTAGCAAGCTTGTTAACAAGTTGTGAAAAATCCGTTCCATCAACTTGTCAACAAGATTTTTCGCAACAGGCTTGTAGCAAGCTTGTTAGCAAGGTGTGAGAATGCCGTTCCAGCAACTTGTCAACAAGACCTTTCGCAACAGGCTTGTAGTATGCTTGTTAACAAGTTGTGACAATTCCGTTCCATCAACTTGTCAACAAGATTTTTTGCAACAGGCTTGTAACAAGCTTGTTAACAAGTTGTGACAATGCTGTGCCATCAACCTGTCCAAAAGAATATTCGCAACAGGCTTGTAGCAAGCTTGTTAACAAGTTGTGACAATTCCGTACCATCAACTTGTCAAAAAGATTTTTCGCAATAGGCTTGTAGCAAGCTTGTTGACAAGTTGTGACAATTCCGTTCCATCAACTTGTCAAAAAGACTTTTCGCAACAGGCTTGAAGCAAACTTGTTAACAAGTTGTGACAATGCTGTTCCATCAACCTGTCAAAAATAATTTTCGCAACAGGCTTGTAGCAAGCTTGTTAACAAGTTGTGACAATTCCATCCCATCAACTTTTCTAAACGACTTTTCGCAACAGGCTTGTAGCAAGCTTGTTAACAAGTTGTGACAATGCCGTTCCATCAACTTGTCAACAAGACTTTTTGCAACAGGCTTGTAGCAAGCTTGTTAGCGAGGTGTGAGAATGCCGCTCCAGCAACTTGTCAACAAGACCTTTCGGAACAGGCTTGAAGTATGCTTGTTAACAAGTTGTGACAATTCCGTTCCACCAAGGGGCCATTCACAAAGGATGTCCGGCCAAATGATGGATTTTCAGACCCATCCCCCCCCCCCTTGTCCGGCATTGTCCAAATTAGTGACCCCTCCCCCCGGACATCCGCCATGCCTCCCAAAAACTCACGAAACCTTGTATATATCAAGAGTAAA